GGGGTGGGTTTCAATTGTCCTAAAAGACAAACTCGAAAGATCAATTGAACATTTGTTTCCTCCCACATTCATTTTTTTCTTTTTTTTCTTTTTTTTTTATAAAAAAGAACAGGTTATCCTCGCACGATGATTTTTGTCAAAAAAAAAAAAAAAATAAAATAAAAATGGTCTTCACATATTTCTTCACAGTTAAATATTTTAATATGTCAATCGTAAATTAGAAGATCACACGTTTGAATTTGAAAGTAAATCGTAAGGATTTTTGTTTTTTTTTTTTTTTCAACATACTTCGATGAGAAAATTTGTGATTGATAAAAAAAAAAAAAAACAACTCCGTAAGAGATTTGTATTTCACAACGAATTGATTAAAATTAAATTAACAAGAGAGGTTGGTTGACCTTGCGTAATAATATCCGTGAATATCTAATACGATTAGTAAATAGATACTATCGATGCTATCATTGTTAATGAATAAATCTTGCAGTTATATTTGTTCGAAAAATCGTGTTAAAGTTATATTATTCGAAAGTAGATCGCAAATCCCTGACCTTGTATGATAATATCGCAATATTCCAAATATAGATATTTACCTACAAAAATATTTCTTCTCTTGGCATAAAAAATAGATAGAATTGATCGTTCGATAAATTGACCAAAAAAAGAAAAAAAAAAACACTTACACCTGTCCAACGAGTAGATGAGACGCAAATACTGTTGTTTTTGCATTAAATCAAAGTTTCATAATATTAATGTCTATAGAAACGTGCATAAGTATACTAGAGTAAAGGGTTTTGAAATGGAAGAGGGAGTGGGGGGTGGGGGCTGGGGGTGGGAAGGAAAAACAGGGTGAGGACGTGCCGGAAAAGGAGTATCGTGGTTAGGCGTAACGACACACACTGCTTGCTGCTCGAAGAAGAAGAAGAAGAAGAAGAAAAAAAGAGAAAAGTGGTGTTGGTAGTGTGATGTTGGTAGTGGTGTTGGTAGTGGCGCTGATGATGGTGGGTGGAATGGGTGAAAGAAGACTGCTGCCAGAGGGAGGGAGGGAGGGAGGGAGGGGAGAGGTCGGTGATGGTTATTTTTAGAAAGTAGGTCACCCATAAACCCTAGTTTGTCCCGTGACGTCACGGGATCGTCGTCGTGGCAACAGGAACAGCAGGTCAATCAACTTCGGTTCACAGGCACCTTTTGGCTCCCACTCTCCACCGGCTCCCAACCCGCATCCTTCGACCCATTCTCCCTCCTCCCCTTTGCCACTTCTCCAACATGGGGGAGAACGACAGCTTCGAATAGGTTAGAGGTTACGGTACCGTTGCAACGATCAACCCCTGACGTGTCAATCTTTTCCTACATTTGTTATTTTCATATTTTTTATTTCGGCCAATTTTTGAAACAAATCTTCTTTGGGCAAGGTGTAGGAAAACATTTTCAAGCAAGACGAAAAGTGAAAGGTTTTTAAGGGGATCGCGTTATTTAAGGGTTGAAGGAGAGAATATCGATCAGGCAAGAGGGGAAATACGAGACAACCTCGCTCGCACCGGGGACAAAACAATTTAAAACGCGACACGAAAAGTGCAACAATGTCATTCATAAGAATGATTGAACAAAAATCTTTTACAATAATGGCAAGAGGAGAAAAAAATAATATTTAACAGTTAAATTTATTCACATGACAACGGGGAAAGAGGTGAAAATGCAATGAGGTATCTCGAATAACAGTCTAAGGTGATTGATTAATTGGAAGGGGACAGGTTACTCGTGTATCTTATTTTGATACATTTTATTTGTATTTTGAACGTCGTGGTGACAAAACCATATTCCGTATTTGCTCTCCGTGGAAGAATTTATTCCTAAATAATTAAATAGGTTTTAAAAAGACTATCGCCATCGTCCCATTTTTTTGTATGGTGTTAGGTAAATGTGTAGAAAGAGATAATCTAATAATTCAAGAAAATAGTTAATATAAAATATTCAAAATTCACTTTCAGACTGGCACTGTATATCAAATGTTATCCTCCTGTCCCTTTCCTTCTCTCCACCTTCTCCATTCCCTTCCTCTACCACTTCCTCCTCCTGTTTTTTAATAATTGTATTATTTTATAAATAATTAGCAGTATTTAGTATAGAATAAGTATTTTTTATTGACCCTTGTTCTAATTTATTCATATGTTACAAAATGAAAATAAATTTATGATAAATTGTGGATGAAATAATATGAAAGAATAATTTGATAAAATTATATCAAATTCACGATTTATTTATTTACATTATTACTTTTACGAATATCTTCTATAGTTATAAGAATTCAATGTCTGTAAATTAATTTTCAAAAGTTTCGCCATCTTTCGTGGGTAACGTTATGCCAGTGAAACGTCCATCACTTCTTACCGACCGTTGTCTGTTTTAGCTGCTTTTACTACTTGCTCGATCACAATCCGTGATACTTACTACTGTGGCTGGCCAGTAGAGGTAGTTACTACTTACGCGATGTGGTTACAATTTGATATACAGTTATATACATTTTTCTTTAATTATAATACAATCATTTTTACGAGTTACTTACTAGTACACTTACGAACAATTAATTAGTAGATAATATTTCAATAATTGTTAAACCAATAAATGAAAGTTGTTTCATTTCATTCATAATACTATATTGATTACTTTACACATACATGAACGATTTCTAAATACGATATTCATTTCTGTTGAAATTCTAGATTTAAATGAAAAAATGAGTTAGAATTTTACCAGTGCATTTAGGCGTCAACATTTTCATCAAGTTTAACGCGTTTTTAGTGCCAAACACCTGCCCGTTACTCCAATAAATTCTTAACGAATAGATTAATAATATCTTTTTCTCGTATCTAATGTGTTTTCATCTTAGATTCGTTAAATTTTCATCAATTTATCTTTGCACAGCATAAATATTATAATGTTACTTTAATAACATTGTTATTATAGTACTATATCTATTATTATTATTATTATTACTGTATTACATGTATCATTAGCATTAGCATTACCTGTATTATTATCATTATTTTAGCTGTATACAACATATATATTATTATTATTATTATGCATATATTACATATATCTAAATATAGGTAACAATATATATATTTTGATTTATGAATCAATTGACAAAACTGTCGTATGATTCATAGATCATCTATCGATCAATAAGACAACAAAACAAATATCATCTTCGCGTAACACATATATATATTATTTATTAATATAAAAATTCATTTTTCATTCATATAGAAACAATAATCTCTCTCTCTCTCTTTGGTTTTTTCAGAAAAAAAAAGAATAAAAATATGTCAATATATGAACCCACATAACACGATAAGTTTTGAAATCTTTCAGCGAAAGTTTTCGTAAAATATTTCAAAAAAAAAATCTTTCAGAAATCTTGCAAACATCCATTCTAAAATATTTTGAAAAAAAAAGATTGATAAAAGATTTGACAAAAAATATTTTCAATAAACATTTCTAAAATATTTTACTGATAGAGTAAAATCTTTTGCAAGTCTCTGAACGTGGGACATTTTCACACCTTGTAGAAAGATTTTGTTAGAAACCTTTTTTTTTTGCAAGAAATGTTTTAGAAAGTTTTTTTTTATGTTATGTGGATAAATATCGATTTCTTGCAGTGGAAAACAAACGATCGATCGAAGTAGAAACGTCGATCGTGCTGCAAACGTCGTCGATCGGTAGGAAGAGAAGAGAGAGAGAGAGAGAGAGAGAGAGAGAGAGAGACCCAGCTCCGTTTTCACTTAGAAATTTATTTTTGGCGACGAGCAGAAGCAGCAGAGCAGCTCCTCGTCTAAAAATGTTTACCTTGCTACACGAGAGCTTTTGATTGGTTGTTAGAAGGACCACGTGAACGTGTCGAAGAATAAGGCACGCGAGGAAGGCACGCAAGAAAGGCACAGTCAGCTGCCTAACGTTCGGTTGGCTAGTCCCAAAGCCAGCTAGTTCTTATCAAGGTAAGCAGCTTCTTATCTGTTTTTTTTTTATTTTTTTATTTTTTCTTTTCTTTACTTTCCCCACTTTTTCTTCTTTTTTCATTTTACGCGATATGATATTTTATATATTCTTCAAAGGGAAAGAAAAAAAAAAAGAACTTTACAGTTTGTATGAGCGCTTGCTTATCTATCATTTTCAAACGACATTTATCTTCGTTGTTTCGTGTGTCAGTGAAAGGTGATATCGCATTGCTTTAATCTATATATATATATATCATCGTTATTTTATGTTGGTATTGAACATTTTTTATGTTTGGGTGAAAGAGAGAGAGAGAGATTTAAGATACTTTGTTTCATCTTATAAACGTCATTTTATTAATAGAGTGTATCTTCGTTGTTAAGTGAACTATTTTTTTTTTCTTAAAGCATTTAACCGTATGATTTTTGGATTATTTTTTTATTTAAAAAAAAAAATACTTTATTTGCAGGAAAGAGAATATTTTTTTATTTTTATCCTAACTGTTGGAAGATGTTGAAAAGATAAAAACTCGATGAAAACTCGTAAATCGTTGTACGCAACAACGCGGTAGATAAAAATAGGAGAAAAGATAAATAAAAAAAAAAACATATAAAAGTAGAATATTATTTCTATTTTTACAATAGCAATAGATTATTTGTCTCTCTATCTTTTTTTATCTTACTCTATATATTTTAGCTCGAGGATGTTAGAATATATCGTAGCTAGGAAACATACAGAAAGAGAGAGAGAGAGAGAGTAGTCTAGTTGTAATTTCTCGTCGGTTCGTTGTGCGCTTAGAATAGCTTAGGAATGAGATGAGAATCTATACTTGGACAAAAGAGAGAGAAAGAGAGAGAATGAGAATGAGAATGAGATGGAGAGAAATCTTTGCACACACTCTTTTACGAATATAAATGACCGAGAGTCTGTGAAAATCTAACGGCAAGAATGTACGAGTAGTAGTAGTATATGTGCATGATGTATATAAAAAAGTTTACGAATAAGAATAAATCCTGACAATAGGAATGGGCCCAAATTTCAAACATAAATTTACCTTTTATTTCATAAATTATTATTATACCTTAAACTATATTTATTGTTCACAAATCAAACGACATAATCTCAGTCATTTTTCTATTTCCCAAATGAAAATGTACGAGTAGTAGTATGTGCATGATGTATATAGGAAAAGTTTATGAATAAGAATCATTTGTGACAATAGAGATGGGCCCAAATTTCAAGCCTAAATTTTCCTTTCATTTATTAATAAATTATTATTTTTGTATTATTTATTAAAAAAAAAAAATTGATGCAAAATCAAACGACATAATAATCTCTCAGTCATTTGAAATTTTCCAAATGAAAATAATACAATGGTAAACATTGTAAATGATCTCACGAAAAGTCGTAATTATCATTCAAAAATATCTTCTCGTAAAAGATCGAGTTTTCTTCTCTCTTCGATGTGAATTGAGAGAGAGAGAGAGAGAGAGAGAGAGAGAGAGAGGAGAGGAGAGGGAGCAAACGAGATTTGCTAGCAGCATGTTGGATCCAAATTTGGATTGCCCTGATATACCGACGTAGCCAAACCGACTCAACGTTACGAGACCTTTCGAAAAGTGGGGGTGCTCGAGATCTATTTTTACTCTTTCGATATTCTATACCCCCATTCGCGATGAAGTTTCTTGCTTCGTCAGATAAATGGAAAAATGTAGGCTTATGGAATATTATTATGGTCATTGGAAATATCCAAAATGTCATTGACGATTATTTCGTTGTGTTTTCACAATTGTCCAATTAAACAACATTTTTTATTTTTTATTTTTTTTCCGTTCATTTTATATTCGATTTGAGATTTATTTAACATATACATGTGTGTTATGTTATTTATATAATTGTTTTTTTTTGTTCTTTTTGTTGTATTTTTAGGTAGACGCGCGTAAGAAACAGGCACCAACATGGCGGACGATGAGGTTAGGTGAGTATCGAACGAACGATTAATTATTAAGTAATATTTTTTTCGATCATATAAATTGCATCATAATTACATATTTAATTAATTAATTAATTATTATTATTGTTTGATCGTCAATTATAATTTTGTTTTCTTTTCATTATTCATCGTGGATCATTTCTACATCTAATTATGGAACATTCGTCAATGGCGATATCCAAAAAAAAAACACCCTTTTTCGGTTTCGGATCCTAGTATGAGTTACAAATATAAAAGGTACGAATTTGTGTGTTTGTGTTTTTTTTTTATGCTTGTTATTCTATCTGTTCTCCCCATTAGAATTAGATGTTTGATATTTTTGCGGACTGGGATATATATGTACGAGTTTATTATGCATTGAATAGAAAAAACAAAATACAATGGAAATGAATTTTATACTATTTTTGTTAGAATAGTATAAACATGATATTTCAGTGTCGTATTGTTAACTCTTTGGGGCGCACAGTGTGGGATTTAAAGTGTCCCACCTTTTTGATACACCGTAATGCACGGTGGGATCCACCGTGTTTTTAGTCCCACCTTGAAATATTATTGCAATAGCTACACATGCTCATAAGTTTATATTTCGTCTTATTTATGCAAAACAATTGGTTTTAACTTTTCTTTTTATGTTTTTACATTATTACATTATGTAAAATTATACCTCTTTTTTAATCAAAAATATACCTATTTGGTTTTATTTAAAATTTAATCAAATTTCTATGCAACATAAGGCTAAAATTATTCTGTGCCGCAAAGAGTTAACTTGCATAAAAATCTACTTACAATTAGAAAAAAAAATGAATTGTTTTTGAATCATTTTGATGAAATTCGAGGCTTATGAACAGAACAACCGAGTCTCGTCGTTTCGTTTTTAATTTCAACTTGGATTTTTGTTTTTTCCTTGTCCTCTATATATCTATATATATTTTGTTATTTTTTGTAGAAACATCTAAACGACAAACGTTTACGAGTTTGCTATTACCCTTTCACAGTCTCCTATCCTCTATTGGAAATTGTTTCATCTTTTTTTATTTTGTTTATTTTCAACGTTCTCTCACAAAGGAGAGTTTATTTTTTTTTAATCCTTGCTGTTTTTACAAACGAAGTATCGATTTTTCTTATCGGTATTTTCGAAGCTTTAGTTCATTTTGTTTTTATTTTGATCCCCCTCTACTACCACCACCACCACCACCACCACCACCACTATATCGTTTCTATTTTCTCGAAACGATCATTAAAAATATACGACAAAAAATACGAAAAAAAAAAACAACAACAACAACAAAGTACACAGATAGAAAAAGAAAGACATGACAAAATATCCAAATGCAAATATCGTCGATAGACGACGACATGGACGGAAATGCAGAGAGCAATTGGTAAAGTAGACACGATGCTCGCACGTACGAATGCAAATGTTCATGCAAAAAAAAAAACAGAGAAACATTATTCTTGCATGCTCTGCGTTTATTTATTTGTGCTTTTAAAACAAACAAAACAACAACAACAACAACAACGACAAAATAAAAAAAAAAGCTTTTATTTTACAACGCGCTGTGATCGAAAGCTTGGGCTTTCATTAATTACAATAAATGTGTAAAAACGCTGGACACTTGTTCACATTTTCTTCCATAAGAGATGTTACCTCCTTACCTCTATCCACCATAATAATAAAAGTGTGCGCTCTACGTTGTTCGCTTTTATTTTATTTTATTTTATTTTTTTTTTTTTTTAAAGATAAAGAAAATCTTTCAGAATATATATTACACCAATGTGTATTGTCGATTAAAATTAACGCCATAAAAATGTATATTGTCTCGCTGAAGTTGTTTTTTTTTCTTTTTTTTCTTTTTTATTTCAAAAAGATTTGTCATACGAGTATTGCATATTTTATATCTTTTCTAATATCTTTCCTTTTTATTCTTTTTTTTACAGAGGAAGCGTCTCGAGGATGTACGTAAGAGAGATGGAACTTTCAAAGATATTATGTGAACTTTATCTTCGATGGGGAAAAAAAAAAAAAAGATTCCACACTTCCCTCTACGGAATCTTCGACTTATTTTTCATTTATTACATTCCAACTGGAAATTACAATTTCTTTTCTTTTTTTTTTTTTTTACATTTAGATGAAACTTTTCATTTAACATTTTTTTCTTCATTCGATAAATAACTAAACACGATTTAGATATTTTGCTATTTAATAATCATTTACATAGATACATATATATTTGTATTTGTATTTTAATTTTGATTGTTTTGAGATCAGTTATTCAAGTGAATGGTTTAGCTAGCATACCGGTGGCGATTTAAAAAAAAAAAAGATGTTAGAATCAGCAGAGTATTTAAAGAACGGTGTTTACACGATTAATACAGGAAAAGAAGAGGAAACAGGCGGAGACCGATAGGAAAAGGGCTGAGGTCCGAGCCCGCCTCGAAGAGGCTTCCAAAGCTAAGAAAGCTAAGAAAGGTTTCATGACCCCTGACAGGAAGAAGAAACTTAGGGTTTGTATACTTTTGTTTTTTCTAATATTATTTATTATTATTTCTAATATCATTTGTTCGTATTTTCTAAGTATTCTTCTTCTTCTTCTTCTTATTATTATTATTATTATTATTTCGACAGCTCTTGTTGCGTAAAAAAGCTGCGGAAGAATTGAAAAAGGAGCAAGAAAGAAAAGCAGCAGAAAGGAGGCGTATCATCGAAGAACGTTGTGGAAAACCAAGAAACGTCGATGATGCTAACGAAGGTATTTTAATTCCATCATCAACCCTTTTATTATTTTTCTTTTTATTTTCTTTTATATCTCAACTCCGATATCGTATCATTGGAGATCGTTTAATTATATCAATGCACATTCGTCATTTTAATTCTTTGGAAGAACTCAATTCTATCCAAAGTATCTAAAATTGAACAAAAAAAAAAAACAAAACAAAAAAAATATCATCTCTAATAAACTTTTTTTTTTTCTAATAGATGCCATTGGCATCTCTCTCATAGAAAATTTGATTTATCAAAACATTTGCACAGAATTTGGTTTCTTATATTTTTTCGGGGATGCACAAATCCTTACGGTAAACGAAGATACTTTTTTTTACGTAGAACGTATTTTTTACAAGATGCAATATTTATTATTGCATCTATACTCACACATTTTTGTTTATTAGGTTATCATCGATGAATTATTATTTCCAAGTGAACCTAATTTTTGTCCATTCATCCTTACCACCATCCTTCCTTGTACTTTGATACACACACAAAAATCAAATTGAACCCATTAAACGAATACCAAAGTGGTATTAACCACGAACACGCGTTGATTGACAAAAAAAAAAAAAGAATAAGTTGATGATGATGATGAACTTTAAAAAGGAAAAGAAAAAAAAATAAAAAAAAGAAAAAGACTCGAATGGTCGTAGGTTTGATTTAAAAGTCACAACTGCTGTTGTCTTGATATCTTCTCTAATTAACTCTCACACAGACACAGTGAAACGTGTGCTACGCGAGTACCACAATAGGATCACAGCATTGGAGGATCAAAAATTCGACCTTGAGTATGTCGTTAAGAAGAAGGATTACGAGGTACTTCTGAGAGAATAGCACACAAGAGTACGGGCAAATTAGTCCAAATAACGAGCATTATTTACTATAATAACGCGTTATCAAATAATTACCGCTCAATGTTGTTGCAACTTTTTTATATTAAATATTAATGCAGTGCTCTTGCCCGGTTGCGCATTACATTTTTTATTTTTTTTTGTTTTATTTAATAATTAGAGCTTTTCAATATAAAACAATTTTGGTGTTTTACACTTTGAAATATAATTAATTGTTAATTTTCTCGCGAACGATACAATTTATTTTTGTCAATTTTGTTTCATTTTTACACATCAAATTGAGCTTTTGTTTTTTTACTTTTTTTCGATTATAAAAAAACATTTGTAATCGCAACAGATATTGTTTAACCCTTTTCGCCACTACGGACGGCTATAGTCGCTTTGCATAAAATACCGCGCGCATTGTACATTGTATAATACATATGACGAACGATTAAGTTCATATGTTGAAATGTTAGAAATATTTTCATTTGTGGAGAATTTTTTTTTGTTAATAAACACCGTCAAACCAGCAACTCGGGTTGCTGTTGATTTTACTCGAGCACCGGGCACATTTTTTAGCGCGGGGGCGACACGTTCAGCGGAAATACCACGGCGAAGAAGTCGCCCGTAGCGAATGGGTTAAAAAATGTTTGCTAATTGTGTCGATTTATTTATTTAAATTATTTAAATGATCAGTCGTATATAAATAGAGAAAAAAAGAAAATATGTAATTGCGTCGATTTTGCAAATATTTGGCGGCGACCGGGCTTTGGAACACGAGCTTCGCATTCTATCGCTACGATTTTCAACATTTATCTCTTTCTCTCTCTCTCTCTCTTTCTCTCTCTCTTTCTCTCTCTCTCTCTCTTGTTTTCCTATCGCTCTCTATCTCTTTCTATCTATCTGTCTATCTCTTTGGCCAAACGCACCAAAAAAAA